CTACAGTTATACTTGGGGATTTCAACACTTCAGTTTCAGAAACTGCTAGATAGACAATCAGTAAGGATATAAAACTGATCAACACACACACACACACACACACACACACACACACAAACTGATCAACAACAATCACCCAACTGACCAACACAATCATCCAACACACCATCTAATTGTATACAGAACATTCTACCCAACAACAGCAGAATTAACATTGTTTTTTAAGAGCCCATGGAACATGTACCAACAGGGACTGTCATAGGTCATAAAACAAACTTCAACAAATATAAAAGAATTAAAATAATACAGCTTTTTCTAACTTCAATAATACAGATGTTTTTTCTAACCTCAACCTAAAAACATTAACAGAAAAACGACCAGAAGATTTCCGATAACTTGGAAATTAACACATTTCTGAATAATCCATGGGTATAGAGGAATTCTCACAGGAAATATAAAAACACATAGAATTCGGGGCGCCTGGGTGGCTCAGTTGGTTAAGCGACTGCCTTCGGCTCAGGTCATGATCCTGGAGTCCCGGGATCGAGTCCCACATCGGGCTTCCTGCTCGGTGAGGAGTCTGCTTCTCCCTCTGACCCTCTTCCCTTCGTGCTTTCCATCTCTCATTCTCTCTCTCTCTCTCAAATAAATAAATAAAATCTTAAAAAAAAAAAACACATAGAATTCAATGAAAATGAAAATGCAATAAGTCAAAATATGTGGATGCAGCTATAGAGGCGCTGAGGGAGAAGTTACAGTCCTAAATCCTTACATTAAAAAAGAACAACAATTTGAAATCACTGCTCCCACTTCAAAAAACTAGAAAAATGAGAGAAAAATAAACCCGTAGCAAGCTGAAGGGATGAAATTAATAAAACTGAAAACAGAAAATTAGAAAAAACAAAAAACAGACAAAAAAAACAAATAGCTGCTTCTTTTTTAAATAATCAGTAAAATTTGTTGACAAAGTTCAGGCAAGATTGATAAAAATAAGTAAGACACAGACCACCAACACCAAGAATGAAACAGAGATATCAGTGTAGATCCAGTTTCCGTTAGAAAGATAATAAGGGAAAAATACAAATAACTTTATGTCCATAAATACTAACAAGCCAGAACAGATGGATCGATTCCTCAAACCCAGAAACTATTAAAACTCAATCAAGATGAAATAGAAAACCTGAATAATCCTATAACCATTAAAGAAATTGAATTGGTAATTTAAAAGCTGAAAAAGAAATCTCTAGCCACAGATGATTTTACTAGAGAATTCTAGGCCGTTATACACAAAAATCCTCAACAAAACATTAGCAAATCAAATCCGGCAGCATTTTAAAAAATTATACACCATGACCAAATCCAATTTATTCCAGGTATGCAGGACTGTGTCAGCATTTGAAAATCAGTCAGTGTAACCCAACATTATCAACAGGCTAAAGCAAAAAAACAAAACAAACAAAAAGTATGACTGTACCAATTGATGCAGAAGAACATTTGACAAAATCCAACACCCATAAATGACAGATCTTCCCAGCAAACTACTAACAGAGTGAAACTTCTTCATTTGATAAAAGGCACCTACAAAAACTTAGTTAACACCATACTTAATGGTAAAAGAATGAATGCTTTCCCCCTACAACTAGGAATAAGGAAAGCATATCACACTAACCATTTGTATTTAACATAGTTTTATGAAAAAGAAAAGGCACACATATTTAAGGGACAGAAATAAAACTGTCCCTATCTGCAGATAATGTGATTCTGTACATAGAATATCCCAAGGAATCTATAAGAAAACAAAATGCAAAACAAATAACCAGACTCTGAAGAAGTAATTTCAGCAAAGTGGCAGAGTGCAAAATCAACACAAAAAATTCAATCACGGGGTGCCTGGGTGGCTCAGTTGGTTAAGGTCTGCCTTTGGCTCAGGTCATGATCCTGGAGTCCCAGGATCGAGCCCAACATCGGGCTCCCTGCTCAGCGGGGAGTCTGCTTCTCCCTCTGCCCCTCACCCCACCCGTGTTCTTTCTCTCTCTCAAATAAATAAAATCTTTAAAAAAAATTCAATCACATTTCTATTTACTAAGAACAAATACACAGAAACCAAAACTTAAAACACAGTAACATTTATAATTGCTTCAAAGAAAATTAAATACTTAGGGATAAATCCAACAAAACATGTACAGGATCTGTATCCTGAGAATTAGAATATGCTCATGAAATAAATCAAAGTAGGTCTAAATAAATGAAAAAACATACCACGTTCACAGATTTGAAGACTCAAATAGTAAAGATGCCAGGTCTTCCAAAATTGGTCATAGGTTTAACAAAGTTCTTATTAAAACAGCCCAGTGTTTTGTAGATATGTACCACTTTGGGAAGGCACTGGGACCTGGAATAGTTAAAACAATTTCAAAAAAGAAGAAATGGGAGAAACCACTCCACCAGTTAAAGCTTATTAAATAGCTACAGTGGTCACCATAGTATTGGTGGAAAAACAGATACCAAGATCAGTGGAACAGCTAAGGAACTCAGAAAGAGACCCACACAAATACGCCTAAATGATTTTTTCAAAGATGCAAAAACAATTCACTGGAAGGATAGCCTTTTCAACAAATGGTGATAGAGCAAATGAACTCTCAGGCATTATCTCAGAGAAATAAAAACTTACGTTCACACAAAAGCCTGCAAAAAATGCTCTTTTATTTGTAATAGCCAAAAATGGAAAAAACTCAAATACCTTTCATAGCCTTCAATAGGTAAATGCTTAAACAAACTGGTATATCTGCACCATGGATGACTAGTCAGTAATAAAAAGGAATGAACTATTGATACATGCGACAACTTGGATGGATTTCAAAAAAGATATTCTGAGCAATAAAAAACCAATCCTCAAATGCTACATACTACCTGACTCCATTTAGATACCATTCTTGGACAAAATTATAGAGATGAATAACAAATTAAAGATTAGGGACTTGGGGAGGTGGGAAATAGTGGTAGACACATCAGTCTACACATGTGATCAAATTGCATGTAACTAAATGTATGCACAGCACATACATGAATGCACGTACAACTGTTGAAATATGAGTAAGGTTGATGGACTGTATTGGTGTCAATTTGTGATACTGTGTAACACGTATGCAAGATGTTTGGAAAAATTTCCATATGGAAAAATTAGATGAAAAGTATATGGGAGTATCTATTATTTCTTAAAACAGGATATAAATATATAAATGATCTCAAAATAAAAAGTTAAAACAGGGGCGACTGGGTGGCTCAGTCAGTTAAGCGTCTGACTCTTAATTTCGGCTCAGGTCATGATCTCAGGGTTGTGGCACTGAGCCCTGCATCGGGATTCTCTCTCTCCCTCTTCCTGTGCCCCTCCCCACTCATGCGAGCTCTTTCTAAAAAAAAAAAAACAAAAAGTTAAAACAAAGGAAGAGAGCTGCAATCATGATCATAACTTTCTGTATTGGAACTTTGCAACTCAGTTTAGAAATCATCAGTCATTCACCCACTCAATACCTATAGTAGGCACTGTGCTAGGTGAGGGATTCAGAGTAAAAAAAAGCAGTCACGGCCCTGGTCTCATGAACTTCAGACTGGGAAAGAGGAAAATTGCTCATGCATGAAAAGGTCATTACATCTCAGTCATACACATGAGAACTGGACTCAAATTTCTAACAAGAAGAGTAAGGTAAAATAATTTCTAGAGTACTATTTGCTCATTAAAATTATTACGTATACTTTTTTAACAGAATGGAAAATTCTTGTAACATTAAAAAGAACACAAAATATAAACTCATAAACCCATTAATATATGACAATTAATGACAACGTGTTTTTATATGAATAAACTTTTATTGAATTTTAGATAATTAGAAAGAATAAAGAAATGCAAGATAAATGCTTTCTAAACAACATCTGATAGCATCTTTTCTGTCATGGTATTTTCACTCTTCTTTATAAAAAGTATAGACATTCATTTATTTAAATTTTTACAAAGTCAAGAACCATCACATGGAAAAAATAAGTAACGCTAACATAAATTCAGCATCTCATCAATATCGAAATGGCTGCAATGGTTAGGTTCTGAGCTTAGCCCTCCCAGAAAACAGCATACGCAGCAGCTGCTGGTTTCCATTTATTAAAATGGGTCTGAGAATCAGGAAGCCACTCCCCGTGACGACTATTTTTGCAGGAAAAGAGGGCAGAAGGCATGGTGCAAAGAGGGAGTGAGAGACATCCTAGGGAAAAAAATGATGCTCTTATCGAACCATGAGGTCGGCCTCGTAAGTAATTCAGAGAACGGTTCTGGGATGAAATCATTTCTGTGCTGCTTAAAGTGTGATTAAGGCGAGACAGTCCCCGATACAAGTATGCCCAGATCCACACAGCACAAGACACGAGTGGGGAGTTTGTAAATTATCTGCTGAACTCCAAGGCCAGCCAAGCCAGGTAATTAATCACAGAAGGAGTCTCTTTACAGTGGTGTAAAATGCATTTGGGCAGAACTGCAACCCTGAGCTGTGACAAACATAGGGCAGACCCTCCCAGGAGCATTCTTGAAGGCATCCCTTTTGTCTTAATCTTATCTCTCTTGCAAAAAGGATTATTTTGGAAACAACAGAACAACTCCTGCCCTCCCTGTAACAACCTACTAACCTCCACTTGTCAAACAAGGAGAAAGTTATCTCCCTCAGTGCAAAAGGCATCAGGTGCTGCCTTCATTAAGGGTAACCCACTGTGATAGACAGGGAGCCCCGGCCAGCCCTGTTCAGAGGCTGCCAGGAAGGCTCCAGTCCCTCACACCTGCCTTCCTGGTTCTACGTGGCCCATTCAACCCAGCTCCTTCACCCGCGCGATGGGCCTCCCGCAGATCCCCACAAACACAGTCACTGAACGTGCTGTTAATAATAATCTTTTCTTTCCTAGCCCTATGCCTCTCATGTATTTTTTTTTAAAAAACAATAGTTTTCTTATAAAAAAATATTTTTCCAGGAAATAATGAGCGGTAATTATCATGGACCCAGAACAGACCCTAGAAAAACGCAGACAGGCAAGAATCTGTCAATATAGCAATATTCCAAATATGAAATTCATGGTTTAGGAAGACATAAATAAATAAATAGGAAGGGGCTTCTCAGAGAAGTTTCCTTTGTTTTCCTCCATTTCTTACTGAATTTTGTTTGTGTAAAAAAGTTTTGATTCTAGGATACAAGAGCCAGCCCTGTTGGGACCAATATGAACCATTCATGCCATTAAGCCCTCTAGACAAAGAGGGAACCACGATGATCCCAGGGTTGCTCATTATTTTTTATAAAGACAACTATATTTTTAAATAATTTCATTATTTAAACTTCACCTGGCACTTTAGTCTCTTGAAAAATAATTAAGTTAGGCATGAATTACAGAACAAGCCCATCTGGACTGTAGTTTGGGTTTTAAGTGCTATTCTGCTCTTATATCTTTTTTCTTGGCTTGGCACATCTTTGAGATCCAGTTTTTTGAACAGAATGCTGGGACATCTGTGGTGGGGAAACGAGTCTTCAAGATGAAGAATTCCAGTTCATGTCACAAATTTCACTGGCCAGGTAACAGCATTGCCTTTTCCTTTGTGCTTTTTACTAGTATCCTTATAAGGAAAGTGTTTCTTTCCCCGCACTTGCTCACCCCCCTCCCCCTGCATGGGGCACTCCACTGACCCTGTTATGAACACTCTGTCCGCCCAGGTACTATACCAAGGACCCAGCCCGACTCTGGGCTGGCACCATGACAGGGACAGCACCAATTCGCTCAAGTGTTGCTTGGCTGATGGTGTACGAGTGTGTATGCTGAAGCCAAGGCTTCCTGCTGACTGAGCCATTGCTCCTGGACACCACCTGCGGGGATGACCCTCTGTTGGCTGTCACTACTAGAGTCTTAGGCGGAGCTGGGACCACGTGGGTCCCATTAGCATAGATGGATGGGATGTTGGCATTGCCTGAGTGGAGAGAGAAAGACTGGCGTAAGTCACTGAAGTGGTTGAAGGTCTCCGTGTTCCTGGGAACTTTGGGATTGTTGCTCCAGTATCGACTGTTGTAGGTATTGGAAGAGGTCAATGTGTTGTTCTCTGAAGAGGATATCTCGGTGTGAAATGCTTTGGCAGAAGAAGAACATTTAGGTGGAAGATCATCCTCTCTGAAAAGGAATAAAAATAAAGTTGTCATCAGGATTTACTTGAATGTCACCCTACCCTCCTGCCCAGGACTCTTGCATCTTCTGCTAAGGCCAGTATGTCTGTGAGATACAAACCCTCAGAACAGACCAGACTATCATGAAAGCAAACACATCAGCCCTGGTGGCCTCGGCTCTGACACTCATTCCCTTTGAGACAATGCTCAAGAAAAATGTTCCCTCCGTTTCTCAATAGCCAAGGGTAGAAAAAGTAATGTCAAATGTCTCAGACTATACTTTCCAATATAACTGAAAAAAAATGTGTGTGAATATATATGTGTGTGTATGTATATATGTATGGGTATCTACCTACCTATCTATCTATCTATCTATCTATCTATCTATCTATATATATATATATAGCTCTAAATAGGAAAACAGACCTTGAAGAAAGACACTGAGCTTGTTGTGTAAAGAATTACAAGAGGCTAAGATAAGTCACTAATTTAACTTAAGATGTTAACTAATACATTCAACATTTATTGAGTACCAGGCATTCTACTAGATGTTTCATGTAAAAAAATAAAAATAAAAAAAGACACAGCTCCTATACCCCAGAAGCCTATGGCCAAACAAGAGTGCCAATCAATGCAAGAACATCTCCAAGTCTGAAAGGTTCGACAGGGACGAGAGTCAACTTCTGTGAGGAGGTCTTGAATCAGATCAAGGAATTTAGCAAAGAGGTGGATGTTTGGTGCTGGAAGAGGGTGGAGGCTTGAGCAAAGACCCTGAGGCATGAGCAGCTACGGAACAGACTGGAACACCAGTGACTGTGGAAGTGGTGAGAGAGGATCAGGGAAGCAGGGGAAGGTCAGATCCTGAAGGGCTGTGTGGATCATGCTAAGTAGACTGGAGTCATTAAAGCGTTTTCGACAAGGATATGATGTGGTGCAATGTGAGACAGAGCTTGAACTCCTCTATCCCCACAATATGCCAAGAGTCATTTTTCTTTAAAGATGATTTTCACATTGTTTTCTGAAGATGTGGAGACTGAACTGTCTCTCACAGCAAGCCATACTGCTTTGGCCGAGCTGTGTACACAGGTACGGGTATGCTCTTGGGGTGTTCCTTCTAGCTTCTGTTATAAATGCCAATGTCAACCACATTTCCTAAACTAACTTTTCTTCTGTGGCAGCCACCTTAACCCCACCCATCTTGGAACTACGGGTGGTGAAGGAATTCTTCACATGTGTCCTCCTAGTTGGGCACATATTGGACCCTCTTCCCCTTTCATGATCCAGTAAATAAAGCCGAGCAGTATCATGAGGAAAAGCGATATAATATACAAGAAAATATGACGTGGCTACTTTAACTATCTTGGCCATCACAGCCATTGGATTAGCAAAGAAATCTTAGCTGCCAAAATTAATAGAAATACAGACACTGGCCATGTAGGACAAATTGTCTGACACACAAACCTTATTTCATTAGGAATTTCTTCTTCCTCCTCCTCTTTATTTTTGCTTCTCCAGTAAAAGAATGCCCCTAAAATTAGTGCAATGCAAAAAATGATAATAACTGCACCAGTGCCAATGGCTCCAGCTATTAGTCCAATGCTCCTGGGCTGGGCTGCAAAATATATTTAAGGTAGATTTAAAGAACAAAAAAAAAGAGAGAGAGAGAGAGAGAAATAGCATACATTCATGCAACTTCATAAATATGTCAGTTTACCACGGAATCGTCTTAAAATTCACGAAATCGCCTAAAGTGTTGCGTCCTTATAAAATTAAACGCTGGTTAACCTTCTGTGGACTCACACACAGTAGGCTCACAGACACTTGCTGAATGAGCGAACAGTGTAGGACTCACCACATCAGTAGAGCCACACTTAGAGCAGAACAGGCCAAAGATGCTCACCTGTCTGATCTGCCCAGAGGAACCCCGGCAACCAGTGGGATAATGCTCACCTCAGCCCAACCAGGTCACTACTTTTTTAAGTGGAATTCAAATAACCCAGAATTCTCAAATAAAGAGAAAATTTCTGCACTGCTTATTTATGACCTGGCCACCCAACAATTAAGCAGCTATAAAGGGATAAGGAGAAAATACAAGAAGGTCTCACCGCGGACATGAGATAATTACAAGTTTTTATAATGTCAATAGTACTATGCAATCACTTGAAGACAAGCAACTGACTTTATTCTAATGACCCTGAGGAGAAAGACATTCTGCCATAAAGATGTCATATTGCTGAGGCTGAAAAGTATACTAATACATTTATAGAACATTTCAATAATTAATAAAACCAAAAGAATTTCTATTTTATCTTCAAACAACCTAAAAACAATTAAAAGAAACTTTTCATTCCCTGGTTTAACAAAGATCTTGGTGTTCCAGAATTTTATATACTTACGTGAAATAACCTGGAGATCCAACAGACAGGTGCTGGTTCCGATGGCATTCGAAGCCACGCACTGGTACAGGCCTGAAGACAGAGCACTGATGTTCCGGATGGTAACTGTCCCCTGGACCTGGTCTGTCACAAAAATCATAAGTGAGCAGGTAGGGGGAAAAAAATTAGAAAACCAAAGAAATCAGCAGGAAACCACAAAAATAAACACTGAAGAGTCATCCATAGCCTTTGTCGAGGAGATTCTCTTGGTTCATGAAAAGACTAAAATCACATCACATTAAAGACCCAAAGACATGGAGGCCCTTCCTAAGTGCAATATTACAACTTAATCTGACGATTAGTCTGAGGTCCTAATTGTGGGTAGCCCTTCCTGAGGAAACAGTGGCTAAGGCCTGTCCTAGAGAATCTATGATCAGTAACACCAAATTTCAATTCCGAGGAAATGCGACAACCTAAAGATGAAGCTAAACTCATTACAGTCATGTTCACTTTATACTTGATGGAGAAAACATCCACTCTGTGCTCAAGGGTGTCGACTGTTACTTCCAACAACTATATTAACTATAAGCCCAGATCCTCCACGAAGCAGACACCAAGATAAGTCAAAGGTTTAGTGGAAGAAATTCTAGTTCAGGAAGTGGGAGAGGAAGCTGGGGAGGGTGGGAGAGCCTCTGACTGCAATGCGGGTTTGGACCCTGTGAAGAGGAGAGGCAAGGAAGGAGGGCCAGACAGGGAGCATCTCAGATTGCAGCATCATGTTAGGGAAGTCTCCATCAGGCTGCGGGGGAGGCCCGGCACTAAAATCACCTGTTAGAGGAGTCCTACACCTTGCAGGAATAGGACTGCATTCGCAGGCTCACTCTGCCCAGTCACTGGTTGGGAGCAGCCCTGGTGAAACCTGGTCTGGGTGCAAAGCAGTGGTAGATTCTGGAGGAAGCAGTTGGGGCTGTCTGTCAACTGTGTTCTCCACAGCAGGGGATGAGCAGGGCATTTTCAGGACCACCACACTGATATTACTCAGAAATGTTTCAGTAGTTCATATTTTATTAGTTCATGAACATTAGCATAGATTATTTCTTGTAAATAAAATGCAAATTATAGTAATAATAAAAAACTAAGATTAATAGTTGCTATTACTATGTGCCAAGCATTGGTTAAGCTTTTATAGTATTATCTTTTTTTTAAGATTTTATTTATTTGACAGAGAGAAAGAGAGAGAGATCATAAGTAGGCAGAGTGGCAGGCAGAGGGAGAGGGAGAAGCAGGCTTCCCGCAGAGCAGGGAGCCCGATGTGGGGCTCGATCCCAGGACCCTGGGATCATGACCTGAGCCGAAGGCAGACGCTTAACCGACTGAGCCACCCAGGTGCCCCTATAGTATTATCTTAATCTTTACAACGACGCTATGAGGTATTATTACTCATCCCACTGAACAGGTAAGGAGACTAATAAGGTTATACAGCTAGTGACACAAAATGGGAATTAGACGGGGTGCTGTCTTACATCTAAGCTCTACGCTTCCCTGCCTCCCTTAGGCAGAACATAACACTACAGTCATCTCAACCACTCAAAATAGCTGCAAATTTAGAAGTGGAAAGCCTACTGATGGCACGTTTCTGGCACCAAGTCCATGTGCTCCTAGGGCAACACCTGGAGCTCCCCCTACCCTGGGCTATTTTTACGTGAAACTAACATTATCTTGTTTCTGCTGGCAATCTTCAATTCTATCTAGAGCAAAGGCCAAAGATGGATCAGCAAAAGCAAACCTAACCACAGCACTGCATGCATTTATTGGTTAAGTCATTTAAGAAATAATTATGTATTGAGCACCTTTCTGGAATTAACTTAAATAAACAAGCCAAGGAAAGAACATTTTTTTCTTGCTTTTGTTTCTGGTTTCTAATAGGAACATTTTTTTCTTTTTTTTTTTTAAGATTTTATTTATTTATTTGACAGAGAGAGTGAGAGAGCAGAAGCAGGGGGAGCAGTAGAAGGAGAGGGAGAAGCAGGCTCCCAGCCGAGCAGGAAGCCCGATGCAGAACTCTATCCCAGGACCCTGGGATCATGACCTGAGCTGAAGGCAGAGGTTTAACCAATTGAGCCACCCATGCGCCCCTAATGGGAACATTTAAAGGGTCAAATCCACATTAGATGGGTATCTTACTTATTCAGAACATGACGCTCGAAGAATTTGGACATTTGAATTGTACTGGACACACCAAGTCAATATATTCAGTGCTTACTTTGTTTGCACTTGTGTATTACTTCCTTTTCCTTAACAAACAACTCTGAGGGCTACCAATGTGTGAGAGCCTTTCAGTGAATTCACTCAATAGTTGGGCCAGTCTGAGAGGAAATTGTTTTCTCCTCCTTTGTTTTTGACTTGCTTTCCCAGGCCTTCATCAAATGCCCCCTTCAGCACCATGTATTCTCTAGTGCTGGCACTTAACCCCATTTGGTGTCATTTCTTGCCTATTGTCTCATTAAAAGAAGGGGCAGTGGGGGCCCCTGGGTGGCTCAGTCAGTTGAGCCTTCGACACTTGATTTTGGATCAGGTCATGATCTCAGGGTGGTGGGATCGAGCCCCTCATCGGGCTCTGTGCTCAGTGGGGAGTCTGTTTGAGATTCTCTCCCTCTGCCTCTCCCCTGTTCTCTCTCTAAAAAAGGGGGGGAGGGCTGGGTTTGTATTGTTCATCACTGCATCATCATCCTTAGAAGATACCTGGCACACAGGAAGGTGCTCAATAAATAAAGGAGTTACCTTTTCTTTAGTGTCTACTGTGTACCATATGTACTGTACTAAGAGTTATACATCTGTATCATCTAATTGTCAAAATCCTAGGTTTTAAGGGACGCCTGGGTGGCTCAGTTGGTTAAGCAGCTGCCTTCGGCTCAGGTCATGATCCCAGGATCCTGGGATCAAGTCCCGCGTCGGGCTCCCTGCTCAGCAGGGAGCCTGTTTCTCCCTCTGCCTGCCACTCCTCCTGCTTGTGCTCTTTCTCTCTCTCTCTCTGACAAATAAATAAATAAAATCTTTTAAAAAAATCCTAGGTTTTATATAGAGAACAAACTGAGGGTTACCAGAGGGGAAGTGGGTGGGAGATGGGTGAAATAGGTGAAGGGGATTAAATAGCACACTTAACCTGATGAGCCCTGGGTGATGAATGGAATTGTTGAATCACTATATTGTACACCAGAAACTAATATAACACTGTATGTTAACTATACTGGAATTCAAATAAAAAGCTAAAAAAAAAATCCTAGGTTTTCTATTCCCTACTTTTCAAAGATGAAAAAGCTCAGAGAAGCCACACAATTTATTCAAGATTACACAGTACAGAAATCTATAAAATCAGGTCTGTGTCCAAAGCTTATAGGCCCCATACATACGCTTGGTTTTCTAGTAAGGCATTTTAAACCACAGTATTCCATAGGGTGCATCGGCAGGATGTTTCCTAACTATGCAATGTTACACTGCAGCTAGTGTTAAACTAAGCTGTCTGCCCAACTCCATCTTCAATACATTACCAGATGTCACCAGGCAAGAAAACCATAATCTCTGGGCAACCAGCCCTACAATTCCAAACACTGTGGTGCTGTCTTCCTAAGCCCTGAAATTCTAGGAATTTGATCAGCTCACACCAAACCAGTAATGTTGTTGACCTTTTCACAGAGATAATTTGGGAAACTTTTAACAGCTGAACAAAGAAGCATTCTGGCATGTAGAAAGAGGTAAACTTTAAAGATTCTTGCTTTCAAAAGGTTATTTTTAAAAGGTGAAGTCACTGTTCTTCCTTTTATCTCTATCAACACAGACAGCACATGCAGATTGATGGAACAAATTCTTCCTGACTGAGGCTGACATAGCATGCTAGAGCTAACTCAGAATGTAACCAGGGAAGGAGGCACATAGATAAGAGAGGATTAGCCAGAAGCAGGACAGGGCTGTTTGTGTAGTGAAGGCAAAGAGCAGACGGGAGCCCCTCCTGAGCCAGCACCAGGGTGCTTCCAGCCACAAGCACAGGGCTCTTCCTCAAGTGAAAAGGACTAATTCTTCAACTCAATCTGTCACTTCACTGGGTCTGCTCTGGTGCAGAAGTAATTTGTTGAACCGAAGTTAGAAAACAAATGTTCTTATGATCTTCTTTCTTTTAAGGATAGGTAAAGTTCAACTGTGTGGAACCACAGTTTGGAAAGCACACATGACATCGCAGCCCACGGTCAGTTCACAAGAACGATGCAGTTGGCCTAGGATGCCCTTCAGAACTACAGCGGAATAAACATAAGTGTCCATTTCCACATCCATCCTTTTTCCTTAGGCCAGAACCATATTTCTGACTGCCTCGGGGATGGTGCGCTGACAAAGAGCATGTGTTCTAGGCTCAGACAGCCTGGGCTGGGATCCGCCCTACCACCTACCAGCTGGTTTCCTCACGTGTGAAGCAGAGCTACCAACCTAGCCTCCATATTGTGGGTCACCGTGAGGGGGAAATGAGGTAATATGCGCAACAGCAGAGTATAGTGCCTGATAAAGCTTCGGTATAGGAATTCCATGCTGGCATCACTTGGGAAACTTACATATATTTCTGAATCATATGGAAAATCAGTCAAGAAATTGGGAAAATGTTGGATGTCTCCAAATCCCCAACAGATATTAATACTCAGGATCTGAGGCTGAGAGACAGGAATTCCTAAATCATGAATTAGTCTATACTTTTATATGATTTATGTACTTTGGAGTAATGAGTGGCCATAATAATAAAGTCAATCATTTCTTATATAAAAGTTCCAGAAGTGGGACACCTGGGTGGCTCAGTCATTAAGCGTCTGCCTTAGGCTCAGGTCATGATCTCAGGGTCCTGGGATCGAGCCCCGCATGCGGGAAGCCTGCTTCTCCCTCTCCCACTCCCCCTGCTTGTGTTCCTCTACACTGTCTCTCTCTCTGTCAAAAAATAAATAAAATCTTAAGAAAAAAAGTTCCAGAAATACCCTGTAATAAAAAAATAATAATGAATACATGATTTCTTGTTATTTGAACCAATTGTTAGTACAAAAGTATATACTTCAATACTATGTAAGAATATTCTCAACCTGATACATTTAATAATTAAAAAATAGTAAAAA